CATAGTCTGGCCATTCCATTATATTATTATTATCACAGGAGTGCTAAACCCATAGGATTATACAGCGCATGGGGGGGATGGAAGGTATTCAGGTTCAATTCAGGGAACTGGAGCACAGATCCAATTCCCTAGATCAAGAGCCCCTCACCAGCATCAAGGAACCTCCCTTGAGGGGTGTGATCATTCCAGACAGTGCTATTATGGTTTGTTTGGGGTTTGTTGGGGTGGTACTTCTCTGCAAAGTTTTTGACGTCCATCCATTTGGCAAAGATTTTCTTGATTAATGAAGTAGGGACTTCCTCTATCTCCTCTTCTGAGCCTGAAGAGAGTGCATCCATCTTAGATTTGTGCTCCTCCTTCTCAAGTTCCTGTAACTCCTCAGTGGTCAGCTCTTCCCTGTGCTCCTCCACTAACTCCTCCACATCACCATCACACATCCAGACTCATGGACCTGCCCAGAGAGAGAATATCCTCCACTGTACCATTTCCTTCGTTGCTTGGCTCTTCTCATTAACTTTCTTAGAACTTAGAACACGATTGCAAACAAACCATACCCCCGTTAGCCACTAGTGGCTAACGCGACGGGCTGGAGTTTTGAGACTCTATGACCGCGGGTTCAATCCCGGCCGGGGGTATGGTTTCTTAGAACTCATGGTTAATGAATTTACTAAAAATTTATATGACAAAACACAAAATCACGTAAAAATTCACAGTTACAGTGCGGGTTGTTACAGTATGTAAACCTAAGTAATGTATATTAGAGCTGTGTAAGTATTAGATGAATTAAATGTGGGCAGTCCTGGCTTTGTAAACAAGGGTAGCACACGGTGTCATGACTCATTTTGACCCATATAAGTTCTAGCATGCGAGTCGTATTCCAAAGAAAGGTCACATACCAAGCAAAAATTTGTGTGTCCAAACAGGATGTATACCAAGTTGGACTTATTCCAAAGCAGACATATACTGAGGTACCAGTGTATCTGTAAATGGTATCATAAGTTCTAATAAACAAAAATATTAATAAATATTACATTGTACACTACTGTTATGACAAATCACAAAACACTACCTTATCTTGGTCATCAAAACTCATAAACCTGCTAACATAAACAATACACGTCTACTGACTGCGAGCAGAGACGATTATTGATATATGTACAAGCATATATACACACACCCCTCTGGGTTTTCTGCTATTTTCTTTCTAGTTCTTCTTTATTTCCTCTTATCTCCATGGGGAAGAGGAACAGAATTCTTCCTCCGTAAGCCATGCGTGTTGTAAAAGGCGACTAAAATGCCAGGAGCAAGGGGCTAGTAACCCCTTCTCCTGTATAAATTACTAAATTTAAAAAGAGAAACTTTCGTTTTTCTTTTTGGGCCACCCCACCTCGGTGGGATACGGCCGGTGTGTTGAAAGAAGAATATATATATTCTAGGTAGTAGGCTGGTAGACAGCAACCTCCCAGGGAGGTACTACCGTCCTGCCAGGTGAGTGTAAAACGAAAGCCTGTAATTGTTTTACATGATGGTAGGATTGCTGGTGTCCTTTTTTCTGTTTCATAAACATGCAAGATTTCAGGTACGTCTTGCTACTTCTACTTACACTTAGGTCACACTGCACATACATGTACAAGCATATACATACCCCTCTGGGTTTTCTTCTATTTTCTTACTGTTCTTGTTCTTGTTTATTTCCTCTTATCTCCATGGGGAAGTGGAACAGAATTCTTCCTCTGTAAGCTGTGTGTGTTGTAAGAGGAAACTAAAATGCTGGGAGCAAGGGGCTAGTAACCCCTTCTCCTGTATAAATTACTAAATTTAAAAAGAGAAACTTTTGTTTTCTTTTTGGGCCACCCTTCCTTGGTGGGATACGGCCGGTTTGTTGAAAGAAGAAAGAAAAGGAGAAACTTTCGTTTTTCCTTTTGGGCCACCCTGCCTCGGTGGGATATGGCTGGTGTGTTGAAAGAAAGAAGATATATACATTTTTTTTTCAACAAGTCGGCCATCTCCCACCAAGGCAGGGTGACCCAAAAAAGAAAGAAAATACTTTCATCATTATTCAACACTTTCACCTCACTCACTCATAATCACTGTTTTTGAAGAGGTGCTCAGAATACAACAGTTTAGAAGCATATACATATATAGATACATAACATATCCCTCCAAACTGCCAATATCCCAAACCCCTCCTTTAAAGTGCAGATATTGTACTTCCCATTTCCAGGACTAAAGTCTGGCTATATAAAAATAACCAGTTTCCCTGAATCCCTTCACTAAATATTACCCTGCTCACACTCCAACAGCTCGTCAGGTCTCAAATACCACTCCTATCTAACACGCTCATCCACGCTTGCGGGAAGTCCAAGCCCCTTGCCCACAAAACCTCCTTTACTCCCTCCCTCCAACCTTTTTGAGGATGACCCCTACCCTGCCTTCCTTCCCCTACAGATTTATACTCTCTCCATGTCATTCTACTTTGATCCATTCTCTCTAAATGACCAAGCCACCTCAACAATCCCTCTTCAGCCCTCTGACTAATACTTTTATTAACTCCACACCTTCTCCTAATTTCCACACTCCGAATTTTCTGCGTAATATTCACACCACACATTGCCCTTAAACAGGACATCTCCACTGCCTCCTACCACCTCCTCGCTGCAGCATTTACAACCTAAGCTTCACACCCATATAAGAGTGTTGGCACTACTATACTTTCATACATTCCCTTCTTTGCCTCCATAGATAATGTTTTTTGTCTCCACATATACCTCAATGCACCACTCGCCTTTTTTCCTTCATCAATTCTATGATTAAGCTCATCCTTCATAAATCCATCTGCTGACACGTCAACTCCCAAATATCTGAAAACATTCACTTTTTCCATATTCCTCCTCCCCAATTTGATATCCAATTTTTCTTTATCTAAATCATTTGATACCCTCATCACCTTACTCTTTTCTATGTTCACTTTCAACTTTCTACCTTTACACACACTCCCAAACTCGTCCACGAACCTTTGCAATTTTTCTTTAGAACCTCCCATAAGCACAGTGTCATCAGCAAAAAGTAACTGTGTCAATTCCCAGTTTGTATTTGATTCCCCATAATTTAATCCCACCCCTCTCCCGAACACCCTAGCATTTACTTCTTTTACAACCCCATCTATATAGTAAACAACCATGGTGACATTACACATCCCTGTCTAAGACCCACCTTTACTGAGAAGTAGTCTTCCTCTCTTCTACACACCCTAACCTGAGCCTCACTATCCTCATAAAAACTCTTTACAACATTTAGTATTTACCACCTATTCCATATACTTGTAACATCTGCCACATTGCTCCCCTATCCACTCTATCATATGCCTTTTCTAAATCCATAAATGCAATAAAAACTTCCCTACCTTTATCTAAATACTGTTCACATATAAGCTTCAATGTAAACACTTGATCTACACATCCCCTACCCACTCTAAAACCTCCTTGCTTGTCCACAATCCTACATTCAGTCTTACCTCTAATTCTTTCAATAATAAACCTACCGTACACTGTTCCTGGTATACTCAGTAAACTTATTCCTCTATAATTTTTACAATCTCTTTTGTCCTCCTTCCCTTCATATAAAGGGACTATACATGCTCTCTGCCAATCTCTAGGTACCTTCCCCTCTGTCATACATTTATTAAACAAAAATACCAACCACTCCAACACTATACCCCCCCCCCCCCCCCGCTTTTAACATTTCTTTCATGATCCCGTCAGTTCCAGCTGCTTTACCCCCTTTCATTCCATGTAATGCCTCATGCACCTCCCCCACACTCACATCCTGCTCTTCTTCACTCCTACCAGATGGTATACCTCCCTGGCCAGTGCATGAAATTACTGCCTCCCTTTCTTTGTCGACATTTAAAAGTTCCTCAAAATATTCTTGCCATCTACCCAATACCTCCATTTCCCCATCTACTAACTCCCATACTCTGTTTTTAACTGACATATCCATTCATTCCCTAGGCTTTCTTAATTTGTTTAACTCGCTCCAAAATTTTTTCTTATTTTCATCAAAATTTCTTGACAGTGCCTCTCCCACTCTATCATCTGCTCTCCTTTTGCACTCTCTCACCACTCTCACCTTTCTTTTACTCTCCATATACTCTACTCTTCATATAACACTTCTGCTTTGTAAAAACCTCTCATAAGCTACCTTTTTCTCTTTTATCACACCCTTTACTTCATCATTCCACCAATCACTCCTCTTTCCTCCTTCACCCACCCTCCTATAACCATAAACTTCTGTCCCACATTCTAATACTGCATTTTTAAAACGATTCCAACCCTCTTCCCCCCCCCCCCCCACTACTCATACATGCACCAGCCCACCTTTCTGCCAATAGTTGCTTATATCTCACCCTAACTTGATCCTCCCTTAGTTTATACACATTCACCTCCCTCTTACTTCTTGTTGTCATTTTCCTCTTGTCCCATCTACCTCTTACTCTAACTGTAGCTACAACTAAATAATGATCTAATATATCAGTTGCCCCTCTATAAACTTGTACATCCTGAAGCCTACCCATCAACCTTTTATCCACCAATATATAATCTAACAAACTACTTAGTAACCAAACCTATTAAAATTTATGTAATCAAATACAGCATAATCTTCTATTATGTTAGATATACTAAGGTTACTCATTATTATTTATTATCAATTAAATATACTGTCATGTGAAAATTGTGAAAATGATTTTTGCAAAGTAATACAGTGGTAATACTTGCGAGTTTAATCCATTCCATGACCTTGCTCACAACTGGATTTGCTCGTTTGCAGAGTCAATTTTCCTAATTTAAATTAACTGAAATGCAATTACAGTGGACCCCCGCATACCGATTTTAATCCGTGCAAGAGGGGTAATTGTTATGCGAAATAATCGGTATGTGAATGAATTTTCCCCATAAGAAATAATGGAAATAAAATTAATCAGAGTCCTCTTGTCTCTTCAGATTCTCTTCGTGCATCCTCTGCTGCTGCACCAACTGATCCTCATACCTGTACAAGATATTCATGTATTACAGTGGACCCCCGCATAACGATTACCTCCGAATGCGACCAATTATGTAAGTGTATTTATGTAAGTGCGTTTGTACGTGTATGTTTGGGGGTCTGAAATGGACTAATCTACTTCACAATATTTCTTATGGGAACAAATTCGGTCAGTACTGGCACCTGAACATACTTCTGGAGTGAAAAAATATCGTTAACCGGGGGTCCACTGTATTATTAAGAATATCATAGACTGATCAATGAGCTAGGTGTCCTATAGCTCGGTTGGTAGCACACTTAGTTCACACACTGAGATCCGTGGTTTGAGCCCCGGTACAAATGGAAACATTGGGGGTGTGATTCTTTAAGACACCTGCTGTCCCTGTTCACCTAACAGTAAATAGATACCTGGATGTTAGCCGACTGGTGTGGGTTGCATCCTGAGGACAAAATTAACCTAATTTGCCCAAATGCTCTGCATTACAAGGGGCTTTCTATACAGTATGTCAACAATGTCAGCTAGGTCTGTGTAAGTTGTATCATGTACTTGTAGAAATAAAGATTATTATTATTACTATGTGTGCAGTAGTTCACAATAATTTATATAAGGTACAATATTTTTCCACATTAGTACAGACTTCAAACAGGGGATGTAGAAATACACATGAGAAAACTTTTCATATTGATTCTTTAAAAATATGAAAAATATTACAATAAATAGATGTCCAAAAATGTGATTTAATTGCATATTTAGACAGTTCTTGGCAGTTTGAAGCATTGTCAGAGATACTTTAATGACAGATCACAGAAAGTAAGAAAGAGGCAGAACCCAGAATTGGAGCTCACAGCTCATCTCCCTTTCTTGCAAACTCATATAAACAGGTAATTAAATTACAGTGGAAGTCTGACTTCATTCACATTTACATTACACATTAAATTACTTTCAACATTATCTCTACACTGTCAACTAATCTAGTCTGAATACTTTTATAGCCAGTAATTACTTAAGTGGGTAACCTATAAACTAACTTACACTTAGGTAAAATAATATTCCTTGCAAAGAAAAATTAATTATGCCAGATTTTAATCAAGAGTTTGACCTTGAAAGATTCAGTACCCTGCTGCAGAAAGATAAGCCTGCAGTGAAGTTATTTTTTTGTAAGTAAAAATTTAGCATTATTAAAAATTACTCCACACGTGTTGTAAAAGGCAACTAAAATGCCGAAGGCAACGGGCTAGCAACCTCTTCTGTATAAATTACTAAATTTAAAAAGAGAAACTTTCGTTTTTCTTTTTGGGCCACCTTGCCTTGGTGGGATATGGCTGGTTTGTTGGAAGAAGAAGAAGAAGAAGAAGAAATTACTGTGATAATATTACTCCTGGCTCTGCCAAGAGCAAGAGAGATAACTGCCTAAACAGCAAATGTAAAAAAAAAAGTGCTTATATAACTGCTAAGTTCTTAGCAGTTATATAGGCACTGAGTTCTTAGCAGTTATATAAGCATTAAGTTCTTAGCGCTTATATAGGCACAAGGAAGCTTCAACTAAAATACATGTATAACCAATTCATCTTCCCAGCTCCAAGGACTCTCATCATTTTGAGTGCATCTATAACAATCATCATAATATTTAAACTAATTAGGGTCCATTGATCATCATAATCAAGCAAGTTGGTTATCTAACATTTGTTTTCCATTTTTACTCCATGAAGAAATTATTTAATAGAATTTACACGCTAATTATCATATACGTATCTTAAACTAACCGTTTACGAGCAAGGTGGTCTTGATATTGGGATTTCTGCTTATCTAATTTTGGCTGCTCTTGAAGTGTTTTTCTTCTTCTTCCTGTTCAGTTCTCTTTCCTTCAGCCTTAGCTGCCTCTATTCTTAACTGGAAGGAATATACTGTCTTCAATTCACATTTATAATTTAATTTCTTTACAAAATGATTTCATACTGTATATGTTTAACTGTACTGCACTGAATTACATATTTTTAAAATAGTTAAATTACAGTGGACCCCCGGTACATGATATTAATCCATTCCTGAGAGCTCATCGTATGCCAAAATTATCGGAAGGCGAATTAATTTTCCCCATAAGAAATAATGGAAATCAAATTAATCCGTGCAAGACACCCAAAAGTACTATGAAAAAAAAAGTTTTACTACATGAAATATTAAGTTTAATGCACACAAACTGAAGAAGACATGCACAGTTAGTAGTACTCTACTAACAATAGAATACATGGCACTTACCCTTAATGAAGATCTGGTGATGGTTGATGGGATGGGAGGACGGGAGAGTGTCGAACTTATTGTTTAGAAGGGGAATTCCCTTCCATTAGGACTTGAGGTAGCAAGTCCTTTTCCGGGGTTACTTCTCTTCTTCTTTTAATGCCACTAGGACCAGCTTGAGAGTCACTGGACCTCTGTCGCACAACAAATCTGTCCATAGAGCTCTGTCCTCTCCTCGTTCCTTTCAATTTGTCTAAAAGGCCACAACACGTCATTGTAAATCACCAACCGCTTGCAATAGCTTTTTGTTTTTTATCCATAAAATTTGCAGTTCTCCATCCCTTTGCAACATTTCCTTAATTTTTGAAGTAGGCACAATGGTCCACACTGCATAGGCTTTCAGGGTTAGCCCCAACCCTTCAAAATCTTCTTAATTTTCATACTAATTCTCACCCCTTTTTAACACAGGGTTGGCACTAGAAGCTTTCTGGCCCATGTGCTTATTTTGCAATACAAGCAAAAACTTGTATAAGAATGTACCGAATGTATGCTTATCAAACACTCTCTTTAACCTGGCAATAACGTGGATGCGTCCCGGACAAATCGCTGTGCGTTGTAATTTTTAACGAGTGCAGAAATTTTGCTGTTAATACTAATACTTTTTTATTAACAATGATAACACCGTGGGGCCCACTGTATTGACAGTTTGGGGACTTCTAAACTGTCAGTATCTGCGCCTCTGAAAACGGTGATTATGTATGAGTGAGATGAATTATGAAAAAAGTGTTAAGGGTAACTATTTTCTTTCTGGTTTTTTTCTTCTTTGGGTCATCTCCTTTGGTGCGAGACGCCGACTTTTGTAAAAAAAAATATTTGAAATAATTCGAAATACATTTTAAAAACAAAAAAAAAAAAATTCAACCATGATTTCAAAATACCCCTACCATCCGACTTACGACCTGTTACATCCTACCCTACGCCACTCTTTATTTATCTGCAGCTGGGTTGGTCGGCTGATGCAATCTGTACAATTTCAATACTTTGCGCAATGTGCACATGCAGTAGCATCATTTGGTAACCCCCGATAAGCAGCATCATATGTATTAACTTACTAACTGGAACTAAATTCACCATGCCCTAAATGAATTTCGTCATGATGGTTCAAAAAGGCTCTTACTCTCAACTCTCTATTTTTTCACTTTCACATAACCGTTCACCCGGCCCATATCAGTGTATCCTTGGCTTTACTTCTAACCTGTCTGTGTCTTTCCTTTACTTTCGGTCACCTGTGTGTCTTTTTTTCTCATGTGTGTCTGCTTCTGTCTACCTTTTACTGTCTTATTCTACCTTGTGCTCTGTTACTTGTGTGTTGTCTTTCTGTCTACCTTGTGTGTCTTTCTGCACCTGTCCTGTCTTTCAATCTGCTTGTCTGTCTCAGAGCCACTCATTAAGAGTGTAATTGTCTTGAAGATGCCATCATTAATAATTAAAACATTATGTCTAATTTAAATTAGTTTAATTTTGCATTTTGTTAATCATCTATATTTCTTTTACAAAATTATATAATAAACATGCTACACAACATATAAACATATAAATTAACAAATACGAGATGTTTTTCTGGTCAGCTTGACAGTGAACAGAAACCATTCGTGTCCGGGCTGGCAACAAACAACAACGTTTTTTACATAACTCCCAACTTCTACACTCTCATTCGTTTATTCATTTAATCTTTTTTACTACTCCCTCCACTCACATTAAGACTACAGATATTTTAAGGTAAGTAATGAGTGGACACGATTATCATATTATAGTTTAATAATAATATTAGTAGTAGTAGTACATATGTATTATTGTAATAATTTTTTTTTTTTATTATCACAGTGGCCGATTCCCACCAAGGCAGGGTGGCCCGAAAAAGAAAAACTTTCACCATCATTCACTCCATCACTGTCTTGCCAGAAGGGTGCTTTACACTACAGTTTTTAAACTGCAACATTAACACCCCTCCTTCAGAGTGCAGGCACTGTACTTCCCATCTCCAGGACTCAAGTCCGGCCTGCCGGTTTCCCTGAACCCCTTCATAAATGTTACTTTGCTCACACTCCAACAGCACGTCAAGTATTAAAAACCATTTGCTCCATTCACTCCTATCAAACACGCTCACGCATGCCTGCTGGAAGTCCAAGCCCCTCGTACACAAAACCTCCTTTACCCCCTCCCTCCAACCTTTCCTAGGCCGACCCCTACCCTGCCTTCCTTCCACTACGGACTGATACACTCTTGAAGCCACTCTGTTTCGCTCCATTCTCTCTACATGTCCGAACCACCTCAACAACCCTTCATCAGCCCTGTGGACAACAGTTGTGGTAATCCCCCACCTCCTCCTAACTTTCAAACTACGAATTCTCTGCATTATATTCACACCACACATTGCCCTCAGACATGACATCTCCACTGCCTCTAGCCTTCTCCTCACTGCAACATTCATCACCCATGCTTCACACCCATATAAGAGCGTTGGTAAAACTATACTCTCATACATTCCCCTCTTTGCCTCCAAGGACAAAGTTCTTTGTCTCCACAGACTCCTAAGTGCACCACTCACCCTTTTCCCCTCATCAATTCTATGATTCACCTCATCTTTCATAGACCCATCCCGCGACTCGTCCACTCCAAATATCTGAATACATTCACCTCCTCCTACTCTCTCCCTCCAATCTGATATCCAATCTTTCATCACCTAATCTTTTTGTTATCCTCATAACCTTACTACTTTTCCTGTATTACTTTTAATTTTCTTTTTCTACCATACCCAAAATTCATCCACCAATCTCTGCAACTTCTCTTCAGAATCTCCCAAGAGCACAGTGTCATCAGCAAAGAGCAACTGTGACAACTCCCACTTTATGTGTGTTCTTTATCTTTTAACTCCACGCCTCTTGCCAAACCTTCGCATTTATTTCTCTTACAACCCCATCTATAAATACATTAAACAACCACTGGTGACATCACACATCTTGTCTACGGCCTACTTTTACTGGGAATAAATTTCCCTCTTTCCTACATACTCTAACTTGAGCCTCACTATCCTCGTAAAAACTCTTCACTGCTTTCAATAACCTACCTCCTACACCATACACCTGCAACATCTGCCACATTGCCCCCCTATCCACCCTGTCATATGCCTTTTCCAATCCATAAATGCCACAAAGACCTCTTTAGCCTTATCTAAAATACTGTTCACTTATATGTTTCACTGTAAACACCTGGTCCACACACCCCTACCTTTCCTAAAGCCTCCTTGTTCATTCTGCTATCCTATTCTCCGTCTTACTCTAATTCTTTCAATAATAACTCTACCATACACTTTACCAGGTATACTCAACAGACATCCCCCTATAATTTTTGCACTCTCTTTTTGTCCCCTTTGCCTTTATACAAAGGAACTATGCTGCTCTCTGCCAATCCCTAGGTACCTTACCCTCTTCCATACATTTATTAAATAATTGCACCAACCACTCCAAAACTATATAGCCACCTGCTTTTAACATTTCTTATCTTTTTATCCATCAATCCCGGCTGCCTACCCCCTTTCATTTTACTACTGCCTCACGAACTTCCCCCACACTCACAACTGTTTCTTCCTCACTCCTACAAGATGTTATTCCTCCTTGCCCTATACACGAAATCACAGCTTCCCTATCTTCTCAACATTTTAACAATTCCTCAAAATATTCCCTCCATCTTCCCAATAACCTCTAACTCTCCATTTAATAACTCTCCTCTCCTATTTTTTAACTGACAAATCCATTTGTTCTCTAAGCTTCCTTAACTTGTTAATCTCACTCCAAAACTTTTTCTATTTTTCAACAAATATGTTTTGATAACATCTCACCCACTCTCTCATTTGCTCTCTTTTTACATTGCTTCACCACTCTCTTAACCTCTCTCTTTTTCTCCATATACTCTTCCCTCCTTGCATCACTTCTACTTTGTAAAAACTTCTCATATGCTAACTTTTTTCTCCCTTACTACTCTCTTTACATCATCATTCCACCAATCGCTCCTCTTCCCTCCCGCACCCACTTTCCTGTAACCACAAACTCCTGCTGAACACACTAACACTACATTTTTAAACCTACCCCATACCTCTTCAACCCCATTGCCTATGCTCTCATTAGCCCATCTATCCTCCAAAAAGCTGTTTTATATCTTACCCTAACTGCCTCCTCCTTAAGTTTATAAACCTTCACCTCTCTCTTCCCTGATGCTTCTATTCTCCTTGTATCCCATCTACCTTTTACTGTCAGTGTAGCTACAACTAGAAAGTGATCTATCTGTGGCCCCCCTATAAACATGTACATCCTGAAGTCTACTCAACAGTCTTTTATCTACCAATACATAATCCAACAAACTACTGTCATTTTGCCCTACATCATATCTTGTATACTTATTTATCCTCTTTTTCTTAAAATATGTATTACCTATAACTAAACCCCTTTCTATACAAAGTTCAATCAAAGGGCTCCCA